AGCTCTTCACCTGCCGCGCCAGCCTCTCAGAATGTGCATAGATATTGCGGTATTAGCTCGCGGCCAGGGGAGGGAGGGGGGGGGGGGGGGGGAAGCTCTTCACCTGCCGCGCCAGCCTCTCAGAATGTGCATAGATATTGCGGTATTAGCTCGCGGCCAGGGGAGGGAAGGGGAGGCCTGCGGGAGGCCCTGGTAAAGAGTGGACGACGGCGCAGGGTGCTGGGTGTGGCGGGGCGTAGCGAGGCGTGCGGCATACCACTGGTGCTGATCCTTCATGTGTCCGTCCTGCGTCTAAATGGGGCGTTATTCGCCAACCCGAGGCCCGGCTGGTGGCGGTGCGGGGGGGTTTGTTGGGACAAATGTCAAGGGGCGGGGCTGTGGAACATGCCGGGCGGGCCGCGATGGCTTCCAGGCGCGTCCCGCCGCCGGAGCGCAGTCACGTCCTGCTCCTCAACATCCGCGACGTCATGCAGGCACGCCGTGCGTTGTTTACTTCCCTCTGAGTGCCCCCCCCCTCCCCCTCAAGTCAAGCAATAATGCATTCGGTCGGGCCCAGCGCAGCCACCTCGCCGCGAGTACCACCAGGTCTCGGTGAATCACCCCCGTGCCGCCCCACCTCTGTACGAGTCGTCCTGTTTGCCCGGAGAAGTATGCCAGGTCCGCGCGCCGTGGCGTTGGGTGGGACGTGCTCGGGGTTTGGCTCGCGCCCCCCGGGGGCCACCCAGGAGGAATGCGCGCGGCACTCGGCTTGGCGCGTCGACGTCGCGTACTTTTGACGGCCAAGGTCGGGGGCGGTCCTCGTCTGATTTACTCGCGGGAAAAAAAAAAGTCCACCGCGTGGCGCTCGTCGTGGGACGCCAGACGGACTCGCTACTGGGACACGGGGACGCCGTGGTGTGGTGCTCTCGGCCGCCGCTAATCAACTGTCGGCCAGCCGAGCGCGCCAAATAAGTTTCACTCCAATTTGATTAATTTTTTTTATCGTGTTAGAGATCAGTGGAGCGCAGCGTCGCGTCGGCCCCTCGGCCCTCGCCGTCGCCGAGGGCCGTCGGGGACGTCACCACCTCGGCGCGCCGGTGCATGTCGACGGTGCACCTGCTTATCGGATCGGCGCGCGTATGTTCGATTAATTAATTCCGCGTATCAAAGTGCCACGGTATGCAGATCCTGTTCCGTTGCATATCGACGCGGACGCTTTTTTTCTTCTCCTTGTTTTGAGTTACGGCTGGCAGGGGAGAGGCTTTCACCCGGGTGGGGGACGAGGTGCGCTCAAGGGGTGCCAAATACACTCTCACTTGCGGGTAAACTGCGCGATTAAAAGAACGAGAGTGCCGTGGTACGGGCAGGAAACATTAAGTTGCGCGAGGCGTCGCTGTTTGTGCCTAAGAGGCCCCCTGCGCAGCAGTCCCGTTCGCTTCATCACGCCGGTTACACCCGCCTCAAATAGTGAAAGTTGTTCATATGACACTTCGTTGTCAGGATTTAAACGCTCTCAACAATAAAAAATTTAAAACACATTGTGGAGCTGTTCCTTTTATGGACACACCACCCACCTTGAGCAACTGCGCCTCTTCATCGTCCGAAACGATGATGAACCTGCTCTGCACGGACGGCGAAATGGTAATGGCGCCCGCCATCGCCGCCATCGGGTCGTCGCCGGTGTCATCGTCGTCGTCCTGGAGTCCGCCGACGAGGCCCCCGGGCACCAGGGGATGCACCAGCACCAGCTTGCGCTTGCTGTAGGCCGAGCCCATGCCGCGCGCGCTCACTTGTTTGTAAACAAGCGCGCCGTATCGGTGCGGTCGGTGCTCGCCGCGCTCGCCTCGCGATTGTTCGCACCATGAGAAATTCTCCGCAACGTGGATGACGTCGGGGTAACAATGGGGGCCGCGCAGGTGTGGCGGGGGTCCGGGGGGTCCGCGCCTCACACAGGTGTCGCTGCGGATGCACCGCACGGTCCCGGACGCCCCCCCGTGCTGCGGGGTCGCCAGCTCTGCGGTCCCCGGCTAACTGCGGGGGATGCGTTGATTACGTCCCACTTTCCCTAAACGCAGCCGGAGCGAGCACGCGTTCGCCTGACAAGGCGGTGACTGCTAGATAAAAGCGGCACTTTGGTTTATGAATGAGTGGAAGTCGTCGTCGTC